CCCCCCAGCACCTCACCAAATCCAGCCCTGCCGGAGCAGAGGGGGGAGAGAGGGGTGCTCTGTGGGGGAGAGGGATGTTCCGTGGGGGGAGGGGAGAAGAAGGGACCCTGGCACAGAGCCGCCCAGCCAGCCTGCCTCACCTTATGCTAGGGGAGAGAATCACAGAGGTAAGTTCCTTTCCCCGCCCCTACCTGCTCCCCTTCCCAGAGACCCCAGCAGTCAATCCCCTCCCTCAGACTGTGCTCATTCAGCTCTCTCTAGGACCCAGCAGCCCTGCTGTCGCCTGCTCTCTGCTTCCAGTTGGACCCTGGCACAGAGCCGCCCAGCCAGCCTGCCTCACCTTATGCTAGGGGAGAGAATCACAGAGGTAAGTTCCTTTCCCCGCCCCTACCTGCTCCCCTTCCCAGAGACCCCAGCAGTCAATCCCCTCCCTCAGACTGTGCTCATTCAGCTCTCTCTAGGACCCAGCAGCCCTGCTGTCGCCTGCTCTCTGCTTCCAGTTTCTCTCTTCAGAGTGGTGCCCCAGAAATACTGGTGCCCTACGCAACTGTGTACTCTGTGTATGCCTAAGGACGGCCCTGCTTGTGAACATGAGACCTTTCATCACCGTTTGTACCCCTTTTTTGATCAATAGGCTGCAATTACCACAGACCATTGGGTCTTAGAGATCATCAAATGTGGATACTCCCTGCCTCTTACCACCGGTCTACCAACCTCCTCACCCTCCCTGTCCCTCTTCAGGGACCCCTCTCATGAAACATTCCTTCTCTGAGAAATGGAACATCTCCTTCACATAGGAACTGTAGAGAGGGTGCCCGAAAGATATCAGGACAGGGGATTCTACTTGAACTACTTACAGAAAAAGAGAAAGAGTGGGTGGGAACCAATCCTCAATCTTTGACAGTTAAACAAATACCTTCACAAACAGCAGTTCAAAATGATTACACGTGTGTCAATCATCCTGGCACTGGACAAGGGAGTCTCCTTTGCAGATCTCAACCTCCAAGACACCTACTTCCATGTAACAATTCACCTGGCGCACAGATGTTTTCTTCAATTTACAGTCACCCTCAGAACATTTCCAGTATCGGGTCCTGCCTTTTGGACTCTCCTCCGCTCCTAGAGTCTTTTCCAAGACACTGGCAGTAGTGGCATCATTTCTATGTCACAGAGGCACCATGATTTTTCCTTACTTGGATGATTGCCTCATACGAGGCTTTTCCCGACAAGCCACAAAGAACATGATGCTATTTACACAGAGGCTGTTTGATTCTCTCGGCCTCATCATAAACCATCAGAAGTCCACCCTAAACTAGACCCAAACTTTAGAGTTAATAGGATCTTGCCTGGACTCCCTGGCAGTGTGGGTTTATCTTCCACACCACCATTTCAAGGCAATAAGAAGCTTGGTGTCCATCATATTATAAGCCCTACAGTACCAGTACTCATCTGTATTTACCTCATGGGCCATGAACGATATACATGGTTCAACATGCTTGACTGCACTTTCGCTGCCTTCATCACTGGCTTGCTTTAGTATCCACCCCTTCCAAATACCACATTCGCAAGCAAGTCTCTGTACTCACATTGCTATGATGTTAGACAAGTCTAGACAACCTTCTTGTGGGTGTCACATTCCACCAAGCCAAGCCGTTGAACCAGATCACGACAGATACTTCTCTTCTTAGGTGAGGCACGCACCTACCCAATTATTTTGCTCAGGGAAGATGGTCTGCACATCTAATTTCTTTGGTTGCTCATCCCCACTACACTTATCCTCCCATTCTACTCAAAGCCAGAGTCCTCAGAAAGTTCAAATGCCAGCCACCCCCAAGAGCACAATTGCCACAGGGATAGGGAAACCAGGTCTGTCTGGCTCAAGTCATCCTCATAGCCCTGTCATGGGTCAGACAGACCTGGTTTCCCTATCTCTCTCAAATGTCTCTTCGATCTCCTTACCCTCTTCTGACTCACCCAGATTTCCTATCTCAGAATGAAGGCACTTTTCTCCATTCCCAATTAGACACTCTGCATCTGACAGCCTGGTTCCTACCTGGTTCTCGAAAGCATAGAAAAGATGTTCCCTACAAGTAAAAGCTGTTCTACTCCAGAGTAGAAGGCACACCACTCACAATACCTATATAATTCCACCTATATGTGGAAGCGCTTCACACTTCGGTGTGTGACCTATTGCATTCTACCTCTTCATGTAATCCTCGACTATATCATGCACCTGAAAAAAGGCCTGTCAGTTTCCTCTCTAAGGGTGTGTCTACACTACAGCACTAATTTGAACTAACTTAGTTCTAACTAAGCTAATTTGAACTAGTGCATCTAGACATAAAAACTAATTCAAATTAGTGTTTTGCTAATTCGAACTAGCATGTCCACATTGAGTGGACCCTGAACTGAAGTTAAGGCTGGCTGGAACAGGTGCCGGCAGGGCATCAGGTTAGGACCTAGAGCGTGGAGCTGCTGCCTCAGGCTAGCCGAGGGCTGTGCTTAAAGGGACTCGACCCCCACCACGGACAGACAGTTCTCAGGGTTCCCCGCTTGCTTGTCTACCTCAATGAGGGACAGCAAAGCAGTCCTGTCTTGGAGTGCCCTGAGTGCCCGCACTCGGCACATCACAGCACTCGGCCATTAGCCCGGCTGCACTTGCCTCAGGCTGCCATCTGGGGGGGAGTCAATCGGGGGGCTGTCAGGGTCCAGGAGACCCTGAAGGAGAGCTTCCACCCCAAGGAGCCCGCAGAGCCACCCCTGTCCTCCCCAGTGGGGGCTCGTACCCCATTCCTCCCTCACCTCCTTCCATTTACCCCTCCCTAGCCCCCCTTCCTGATGTAAAAATAAAGGACACGTGTGTTCAATAGAAACTCTTTATTTAACAAAACTGGGGAGAGAGAGGCAGGAGGCGGACAAGATCTGAGAGAGGGGGAGGGAGGAGGAGCGCCACTTGCTCCCGCGTGGCGACCCGGCTGAGTAGCACAGAAGTCAGCCAAGTGCCACGGTGGGAGGCGAAGGGGGGTGGGGCAGTGTCGTACATGCCCAGAGGGCGGGGCCTGGACAAGCATGCATCCCCAACGGAGACAGAGGAGCGGAGAGAGAGGGAAAGGAAGAAGAGAAAGAGAGAGATGGAGCGGAGAGAGCGGAGAGAGAGGGAAAGGAAGAAGAGAAAGAGAGAGATGGAGCGGAGAGAGAGTGAGAGGCAGGGGGGGGGAAACAGCAAGTGAACAAAACTGGGGGAGACTGGGAAAAGGAGGTGGGAGAGGGGAAGAGAGAGGCTGGGAGAGGAGAGGGGGGGGGAGAGCTGAGGGGGGGGGGAGAAAGAGGAGGAGAAAGAGAGAGAGAGAGAGAGAGACGGAGCGAGAGACCAGAGGCTCAGAAGAGAAGACCGATGTGAAGGAGAGAATTGAAAATCCCATCTTATGACGGGCTAATTGGCTAGTTTCAAAATAATGGGCTTTGTAGTATAGACACTCCGCTTATACATTCAACCTAAAGGAGGTTATTTCGGAATAACACCCCAGTGTAGACTAGTGCGTAGTTTCTCCGCAATGACCTTATCACCTTATCATTTGAATTAACAGTTAAACCTCAGTCTACACGTGACAGAGAAGCGTGATTCCGAGATAAACCCCTTAGTTCAAATTAACAGTTAAACCTCATGGAATGAGGTTTAACTGTTAATTCGAACTAAGGGGTTTATCTCGGAATCGCGCTTCTGTGACGTGGGTAGACGCGGGCAGTTACTTTGGGCTAGTCAGTTTCCAAAATGGCAACCAGCCGGGAATATGCTAATCAAGCGCGGGATATTTATATCCCACACTTCATTAGCAATTTCGGTTGCCCTCATTAGCCTCCCTAGTTTGAACTAGGGGGCTAGTGTAGACGTATCCAAAGGGAACAATTAAGGACTAAAAATACTGCTGAGAAGTTAAATGATTTTTTGCATCGGTCTTCAATCCAGGGCATCCAATCTCAAAAAGAGTACACAGAATATGACTTGAGGCACAGTTTCATATGAAAACCATAGAATAATAGGACTGGACAAGACCTTGAGAGGTCATCAAGTCTAGTCTGCTGCACTCATGGCTGGGCCAAGTATCTAATCTATCCCTGAGAGGTGTTTACAGTATCTTGAAGAGATTGAGATTGTTTAGATTAGAGGTGGGATTAATGATATAACACTTAACTAAAATAAACAAAATAATGCACAATAAGAGAAGCTAGATCAGTACTCCTATGTAGTCTGTATCATAAAGTATCAAGGGCTCTTGAAATGTAAATTGGTCATTATAGACGATTACTGGGATTTAAGTGCCCTGAACACATTAAAATTTATGGCTGTTGGGTGTCTAAATCCAGTGTATATAATTTATTACTGAAATATAATATGTAATATACATATATATTTCTGTGTTCTAGACATGAATATATCAGTGGTTACTACAGAGTGTCTGCATATTTTTTCTCAAAGATAATGGCCGATCTAATACCCATGAGGACTTTACCAGGCATCATCTTTACCTCTATAAATTATTTCTTAATAGGCAAGTATCTCATAAAAGAAAGCTGCATCATAATGAACTATGATCATTCATTTTTTTCTTTTGGCAAATAATACAGGTATCCGTGGGTAGTCTGTTTGCACTTCTTCCTTATCAGACTATGTTCCTTGTCCCATTTTTTATTTTTTCACTCCCTTTTAACACAAGCTTATAGAAAGCCTTAATTCTGGGAGTAGGGTAAATAAAATGCTTTGAAACTATTTACTGTTAATACAAATCTGAAGTTAGCTTTGATAAGGGGGCACATTTACACTGATTTATGTATTCCTCCCAAATTCTATGTGTCTTTTTATGATCTGTTCAATCTACTAGTTACGAAGCAAGAGAACTTTACTTTGCTACTTGTAACCATTCTAATAAATTTATTGGACCAGATTTTCTGCTGAGGTAAATTGGGATAGCTCCATGAATATTAATAGAGCTGCCCCAAGTTACACCAGGTGAGGATCTATCCAGCTATTACTCTTCATGATAGAAAATATAGTACTATTGTATGGAGCTTAACAAATATTTAAAGACATCTTCTCTCTCTTTTTTAGATTATAGTTTAATACAATCAAATCAAAAGGATTGCTTACCATGAGTGAAAGTAAAAAAATTAATAAATAGTGCTCTAAATTAGGCAAGCATAGAAAACAGAAAGGGGTGGGAAGAAGGAAAACTGCATGCAAAAGTGTTATACAGTAATTTATAGAATCTGATATTTTAAGGTATAAACTAAGGTGAGGAGTAGATAGCATGAGAGTAAAAATCAAGGGTAGAAATCAAGACAAAGGAAGTGGTTTTTGAGGAGGCATTTGAAAGAGTAAGGTTGCTTAATGAGTGGGAATGAGTAGGAAGAGAGATGTCTCTTGTGTTCTTTTTAATTGACTTCATTATTTGTACAATATGTACAGCTTTTCATTCTTAATTCCTAATATAATCAAAGATATTTATTTTCTTTAAAGTATTATTCATGCACTAAGACAGTATATTTATGGATGATGATACTCCTTATCTGCAAACGATGTATTATGGTACTAAAAAAAAAGCTATGTGCATAGTACACACTAAAACCCTAATATAAAAAAGATAGACTGATTTTTTTCCCCCATTTCTTAGGTTTCAAGCCAACTATTGAGGCCTTCTTTATCATGATGGTTACCCTTATACTAGTCGCCTACACAGCCAGTTCTATGGCTCTGGCTATAGCAACGGGACAAGACGTTGTGGCTGTTGCCAATCTCCTCATAAGTATTTGCTTTGTTTTTATGATTGTAAGTAATAATTTTTTGCTTTTTCCCCTCAATTTTTTGTTGTGTGACAAAAATTACAATGAAATACCGTTCATAATTAATGTTTTTAAAACTACATGCATTTTAAATAATATCAGCAGAGATGTTTGGATTTTTAAGACTACTGGCTAAACCTTTTTAAGAATAGTCAGCAACCTTTTCAAACCAGAGTGCCCCTATATCAAAACGTAGAACAAGTGATCAACAAAGAGCTGTATAAGAATGCCTTTTTGCATGACTGAAAATATACAACATAATATTATTGATAATTAACATAATGATTAATAATAGCATAAATGAAACACTGTACTCACAGACTTTATTTAATGGGACTTTTGCTGCTGCTTCGTCTTTTCACACATTTCTTTGAGGTTTCAAACTGTCTTTTGTCAATCTTGTGGCAGAGGGCTGGTGATGTGGGGTTGCAGGAGTCTGGGGTGGGTATATGAGGGGCTCAGGGCAGGAGACTGGGGGGGCATCTACACTGCAGCATTTTTCTGGAAAAACAATACCGCTAGGCTGTGTCTAGACTGCATCCCTTTTCTGTAAAAGGCTTTATTTTCTGAAAGATCCCCGTCTAGACTGGTGCTTTTTTCGGGCAAAGCTCCGAGCCGGAAAAAAGCGGCACCCATGTTTATGCAAATGAAGCGGGGGGGATTTAAATCCCCGCTTCATTTGCAATTGTGATGTGTCTAATTTGCATCCCTTTTACGGAAAAGGGATGCAGTCTAGACACAGCCATGGAGTGTAGATACTTCACTTCTGCTATTTCAAAATAGCGGCAGTGAACTTCATTCTACAAGGAAGAAGCCTTTTTCTGAAAGGGAGTTCTTTTGAAAGAAGAGGCCTCCAGGAAAAAACACAGGTGCCCTCGTGGCCACTCTGTCCAGACTAATCACAATTCTATAGTTCCTGTCACCTGACAGCTCTTAAAGCTGCAAGCACCAGGGACAAGCCTTGTGGCAGGAAGCTGGCACTGGGAGCTGCTCCGACCACAGCTTCTCCCCTCCCCCTTTGAAGCAGCTGCAGGGAGATGGCGCCTCTGAAGTCAGTGGGGAAAGCTTCCAGAACTGCCCTTCCGCACACTCTTGAGTCCTTCTCAGCCCTGCCTACCCCGGGACAGTCGCCACCAGGAGGTGCAGATGTGGGGGGATCTCTGGGCTTCCAGGCCCCTCCTGGAGCCAGGACAGAACCCAGGAGTTCTGCCTCTCAATTCTCCCTCCCTCTCCCAACCTTGGCCCTGACCTAAAAGGCCCCTGTTCCCCGCCCCCCCATGCCTTGTTAAATGCATCACAAGGCATCTGCTGTGCCAAGCCTAACATTGTCACATTGAAGTGGTGAATAGGGGGTTCCCAGGTGTTATTTGGAGGTACAAAGCATCCCCTTCTCCCCCACCTCATGTGATTTGGAGTTGGGGACTGTGCCTAATACCACGTGTCACCATGCACAAATATCTTCAGCTTCTAGGCCACATGGCATCCTGCAACCCTGTTGTTCGAAATGCTCGTCTCTTCATGAGATGCCTTTAAGGCTGGCTCAGGTTGGCCTATAAGCCAAATCTCCACCCTCTAACCAAAACTGTAAGGCTGTAACTCATGCTAAACGAGGAAAAGTCATCGTTGACACCCTCTCAGCACTTTGAGTTCGTGGGTGCCTACCTGGATGCCAGAGTGGCGAGGGCACTTCTCCCCAGAGCCAGGTTCTTGGCCATAGTGGAGCTGGTCTCCAAACTAGCCCGGTCCCCCATCACAATGGCCAGGGTGTGCTCGAGGTTGCTGGGATACATGGTGGCGTGTACGTACGTGGTCCGCCATGCCCGGATGAGACTCAGACCTTTACAGGCTTGGCTGGCAACGGCATTCAACCAATCCAGGGGCCACTGGGACAGGAGAGCGTGCGAGACCTTCCTGTCGAAGCTCTCTCACCGCTCTGTTCTAATCCGCCTGGACAACACGGTAGCTGTATTTTACATCAACAGGCAGGGGGGTGCCTGGTCGCCTCCCCTCTGCTGTGAGGCCCTGAGTCTCTGGAACTGTGTGTACAGCACAACATAGTTTTGCAGGCAGAGTACCTGCCAGGGTGCAAAAACTTACTGGCCGATGCTCTGAGCAGGTCCTTCGGAGCCCACGACTGGCCCTTTGTCAGATCTTCTGCAGGTGGGGCTATCCCCTACTAGACCTGTTTGCCTCAGCACGCAATACCAAGTGTCGGAGTTACTGCTCCCTATTGGGGCTGGGGGAACACTCCTGGGGGGAATGCCTTGACGGTCATGTGGCCGACAGGCATCCTTTATGCTTTCCCCCCATTCCCTCTAATTCCCAGGGTTCTGACCAGGGTCAAGACCATCAGGTCCACGGTCATCCTGATAGCCCCCAGGTGGCCCAGACAATTCTTGTTCCCTGTACTGGTGGACATGTCCACCAAGGAGCCGATAATGCTCCCGCCAGCCTGGGATCTCCTAACCCAACCGTGGGACGGGAGGATCATGGTTCACCTGAATCTCAAGACTCTAGGCCTAACGGCCTGGTTTATCCATGGTTGAACCAACCAGAAAGGGAATGTTCCCAGGAGGTACAGATGGTGCTCCTAAGTAGTAGGAAACCTTCTACCAGACTGTCATACGCTGCTAAGTGGCAGCGCTTCTCGTCTTGGGCGTCCCACAGGGGAGTGCACCCATCCTGTGCCCCTGTCCCATCCATTCTGCAATATCTCTTTGAACTTGGGTCTAGTGGCCTCTCTATCTCCTCCATCAAAGTCCATGTGGCATCTCTCTCCACCTTCCATGTTGGTTTGGCAGGAGTTTCTCTGTTCTCTGACCCAGTGGTCAAAAGGTTCCTTACGGGTTTAGATAAGTTGTATCCCTCGGTTAGACCCCCTCTCCCAGCTTGGGACCTCAACCTCGTGTTGTTTAGGCTTATGTCACCCCCCTGTGAGCCGCTGGCTACGTGTTCTTTGAAGCACCTCTCCTGGAAGGTTGCATTCATTGTGGCCATTACGTTGGCTTCCAGGGTTTCCGAATTGAGGGCGTTGACTATAAATCCGCCCTACCTGGTGTTTTCTGATAATAACATGAGGCTTCGCCCCCATCCGGCTTTTCTCCCCAAGGTGGTATCACGTTTTCATTTGTCTCAAGAAATTTAACTCCCGGTTTTCTTTCCAAAACCTCACGCCTCACCCAAGGAGCCCTGGATGCTATGCGTGCACTAACTTTTTATATTGATAGGACCAAACCCTTTCGCAGGTCTTAGCAGCTGTTTATTGCTGTCGCGGACAGGGTGAAAGGGCTCCCCATTTGAACCCAGAGGTTGTCCAACTGGGTCACAGGCTGCATCAGGGAGTGTTACGCCCTGGCCGGGAAGGTCCCGCCCCGGGTTACAGCACACTCTACCAGGGCGCAGGCGTCTTCTGTCGCGTTTGGGGCGCAGGTTCCAATCACTGAAATTTGCAGGGCGGCCACGTGGTCATCACTCCATACCTTTACGGCGCACTATGCGCTGGCACAACAGGCCAGGCAGGACGCAAGGGTGGGCTCTGCAGTCCTCATCTCTGTATTGTAAATATGTTTGGTTTATCAGTGTCACATTGCACTTTATACAAGTTTTTCTGTGTTTGGTTGGTTGAATACATTTGTTCGGGTTGTTCAACTTTTCGTGGACTTTTGTTTCTGACTGCTCCGACCCCTCCTCCTTGAAGTGGGTTAGCTTGGTAGTCAACTAATTCTAATGGACATGAGCAACCACTCGAAGAAAAGAACGGTTACTTACCTGTAATTGTTGTTCTTCGAGATGTGTTGCTCATGTCCATTCGACTCCAACCCTACCTCCCCTTCGTCGGAGTGTCCGGCAAGAAGGAACTGAGGTGGGGCAGTGCCGGCAGGGGTACTTATGCCCCGCCATGGTGGCGCCACTCCAGGGGGCGCCCTGTCGGCACTACAGGTACTGCTAGGGAAAACGCTCCGGAAGACGCGGTGAGCACACCTACTTCGAATGGACATGAGCAACCACTCGAAGAAAAGAACGGTTACTTACCTGTACTGAAGAGAATGGCTCTATGTCCTCCAATCATGCTTCCAAGTAATCCGAAGATCCTTTTCCAACCAGCGCTCCAAGTCCCATACCCACAGTTTCTAACACTGAACCTGAAAGCCTGGCAACTAGATGGCTCTCAGGGATAGAGCTACAGTGCTCCACCCAGGTATAAAACGTGCTTCTCCACAGTAGAGCCCCCTCAACTCGCAAGACATAGGGTACGTCTAGACTACATGCCTCTGTCGCCAGAGGCATGTAGATTAGGGTACCGGACATAATAAATAAATAATAAATAATCGCCGCTTCATTTAAATTTACATGGCTGCCGCGCTGAGCCGACAAACAGCTGATCAGCTGTTTGTCGGCTCAGCGCGATAGTCTGGACGCTCCCATAGAGGGACAAATGGGCATGATTTGTCCACTGGGCTATTCCCCACAATATAGGTCTGGAGACAGAACCATTACCTGTGATACTTGACTACCTATTGCACCTTCAAAACTCCCATCTGTCAATTCAGTTAAGATACACTTGACAGCTATCGCAACATTCCATATGAAAACTGATGACACCCTGGTTTTTGCACATCCCACAATGAAGCAATTCCTGAAAGGCCTCCAAACGTTATACTCAGATATAACCATTCCATATACATCGCGGGACATTTGACCCATGGCTACATCCTTGCTTCTTCTCCTATTCTTGAAAATGGCATTCCTAGTGGCGATAACATTGGCCCATCAGGTAGGGGAAATGTATGCCCTAATGGCAGCCCCTCCCCCATACACTATCTTCTTCAAAGGTGTCTGTGCTCACCCATCCCAAGTTCTTCCCCAAGGTACGATCACCTTTCCACATCAACCAGACCATCCACTTACCTGTGTTCTTCCTCAAGCCTCATGCCAATACTTTTGGAGCACAGATGTATACCCTTGATGTACATAGAAGGAAAGTGCCCTACCTCCTTAAAACAAGACCTTTCGGCGTGTCCCCTAAACTCTGTGGCTACGTCTACACTGCAGGCTTTTTGCGAGTTCTTGAGCAAAAGGTCTTGAGCAAGAGTGCGTCCACACTGCCGTGTGCTTTTGCACAAGAGATGTACTTTTGCGCAAGAGTGTCCATTGCAGTGTGAATGCTCTCTTGCGCAAGAAAGCTCTGATGGCCATTTTAGCCACAGGGGTTTCTTGCGCAAGAAATCCCTATTGCCTGTCCACTCTGCCTTCTTGCGCAGGAGCTCTTACGCATGAGGGCTTATTCCTCATGGGGAGAGGAATAACTGTTGCATAAGAAGTCCTCTGCTCCGACGCCTTACTGAAAATGTACTTGTGCAAGAACACACGTGCAGTGTAGGCATTCCACAAGTTTTTGTGCAAGAATGGCTGTTCTCGCGCAAAAAGCCTACAGTGTAGACATAGCCTGTATTTCTATCGCAGATCATAACAAGGGACAGCAGATATCATCCTAAAGACTGTCACACTGGATCTCAGAGTACATCAAAATATGTTACAACCAAAACCAATTGCCACCACCTACCTTGATTTGTGCACCCTCCACCAGGGCAGTAGCTACATTGGTTGCTTACCCTCACAAGGTCCCTATTAAAGACATATGTGCTACACAGAGCTCAGACCAAACCTTTGCCAGGCACTATGCACTCTCTCAGGGACCTCTTTCCTCCACAAGAGTGGCAAAGGCTGTCCTGTCAATGGCCTACTTACCTGATCTGAAGTCCCTGCCGCCATTGGACACATTGCTTTCCAGTCACCTGCTATTGAGCACCCCCAGGGACATCTCTCTCTGTCTCAAAGAGGAGGTTACTCATCTTTGGCAGTACCTGATGTTCTTCAAGATGAGCGTCTCGGTGAGTGCTCCACTACTCTCCCTCCCCTCTACTTCAGAATCCTTTTTCTTATCAGGCCAGGTGTCCAGGTAGAAAAGGAACTGAGCGGAGGGTGGCCAGGCATGTGCAGTAGTCCTGAGCAGCGCCTGCGCACCTCCCTTGCAGTGCATACATGGCCCCCCATGCACTGCTGTGAAGAATCAGGTCTATGGTGCTGGGATGCACTGACACACCTGCTGTGGAGCACCCACAGGGATACTCATGTTGAAGAATATCAGTTACTACTAAAGGTAAGTAACCTCCTCATCTCACCAGTCTATGCTTGTCTGTGGAATAGAACAGACTATTCAAAGTCCCTGAACTCAGTATTTTTGTCTCCTTCTGATAGGCATTATTTTTATCTATCCAGAGAAAATCTACTGTCTTGCTCTTCCAGAGCAGATTTCAGAGCTTTTCCTTTGCATGATGGTGGTGATTTCTGCTAGTTTTATTTCTATTTTTTACTCATTGCTTATCTTGTCAAAGATTTAGGGCCTTTTGTTTCTAGATTTAGGTCATGTTGCTGAGGAATTACCATATTTGCCCTCGAGTTCTTCTTATTTTAGGATGCCAAAGGTTAAAAAAGTGAAGCTCCAATTCACTTGATTATGATTTAAGGGAAATTCCAAGCTTACCTGCTCCTGGAGACCAGATAAAGGCTCATTTTCCTAAGGATTCATGCTATACAAGGAGGCTTAAAACCCATGCTTCTGTGTGAAAATCCTGTTTCCTGCTGCAGTTATTCAGGAAGCAGTCAGGATTTACTGCCAAGATGTCCTCATAGGTCTCTGGCTCCACTGATGATGATAATCAGAAAGCTGTTTGCGTGTGTGCTTAATGATGTGGGCCGTGTCAGCTTGCACACAAAGCAGTTTAGAGGTAGCCTCTTCTGCTGAAAGATATGCAAATTCAGAGCTAATTTGCATATCTTCTTCTGATCGCATTATTGGAAGAGGTTTTGTCAAAAAAGAAAGTTCAGACGCAGTTCTTTCGGGAAAAAAACCCCTTTTTCGAAAGAACCCTTTTTCCTAAAAAAATGAGGTATGCAGGATTCTTTTGAAAAAGGGTGGTTGTTTTTTTGAAAGAACCATGTCTAAGCTGCTTTCTTTTTCAACAAAACCTCTTCTGATAATGCGATCAGAAGAAGATATGCAAATTAGCTCATAATGTGTATATATTCTTTTGGCAGAAGAAAGCAGTCTAGATGTAGTCTTAGTCTTCACAATAGACCCCAGGAGAGCACCCAAAGACCACAAACCAGATAAGGATCAAAGGTGCCAGGCCATGTTTATTGTTAAGCGAAGTACAGTAATGGTTGTCAGTAGAGTCTACTGAACCACTATGCATATGTACCTTATTAACAATGGAATGACTCAGTCAATGGGAAATTTCCACTGTCTCCTTGGTCATACAAAGACTGTCACCCCAAGACACCACTTTATATACAGGTACTAACAACTTACACATTACTGTTGACGTGTCAGGTTGCTACCGTCTGACACTTCTTAGATAGCACCCAACACCCTGCAACTTGTAGTTTGATTAGATCATCTCTATCCATCATGCTGTCATTTTAGACCCTTTCCTGAACCTGGGTCTGTATCTGTGGAGAATGGGCATCAAGGTCTTTTTTAATGAGCTGGTGGTACCATATGCTTTCAATTTATTATCAGTAACAATTACTCTTCTACACTTGGGCCTATTACCAATTAGTGTTTTGCACTCTCAGCTCTGTTCATGCCAAGTTCTGTGAGCAGGGGCCTGCCTCTTACTCAGAGCCTAGTTTTGCTTTATGTTAGCCATGTTTTCTCTACTGTTAGCTAGGTCTCAGGCTTTAAACCAGGCCTGTGATACATGGGATTTTGTTTTAGGCCTTCATTTTACTATACCTGCCAAAAAATTAGTGATGGCTCAGCAGGTCACTATCGCTCCAGGTAGAAACTGTCCTGTAAAGATTTGTCCCTGGTTGTCCTAGACCATGGAACAACTAAACATCTCTGGGAACAAAGGGTCAATTCCTATTGACAGGGAGCAGGTAAGTCTTATAGGATCAAACCCAAGTTTAGGATTGTATACTCATTGTGCATGTGTACATTTAACATTAATGGGAATTATTTCTATAAATGGAATAAAGCACTAGAAAATTAGGTTATTGCATGAGGTGTATGAAAAAATCCACACACTAAACCACATATGAAGATGATATAAGTCCCTTTGTAGATAGCACCAACAGAAGAATTCTCCTATTGACTTAGCTACAACCTCAGTGGTGGAGAGGACATTTCAAGTGTAGACAAGCACCCTAAGCATGTTACAATCTAAAGTAACTTAGGACTTTGCAAAATTTCCATGACATACATTTGATAGTTTCTTTACTGTTTGTAGATTTTCTCTGGCTTGCTGGTAAATCTCACAAGCATCGAATCTTGGATTTTCTGGCTGAAATATTTCAGCATCCCTCGATATGGCCTGACAGTGAGTGCTACATTTTCTGTGCATTCTTTTGAAAGAGATCATCATTATAAGAAATGTCAAACAATATTATTCCAGTTATAATTGGTAAATATAACTTACATAGATATGTTCTCTGTCTTTTTACATTCTTAATATAGTGCAATAGGTCTCAGTATCATGTATGTATTGTAATACAAATTAGAATATCACAAGAAAATGCCATCAATAGATAAAACAGAATCATAAATATCAGTGGGTCCAGAAAAAAGATTACTTGAGACACTCTATTAGATCCCTAGCAGGTTGCAAAACTGCTCTCCACAACACACAATTTCTGCTTTTGTAATTTAAGCATATTCTGTAATGGTGTTTTTCAGTTCATCTTAGAAATATGAATAACTTCCTACAGCACACCTGCATTTCTTATGTTTCGTCCATTGCTTATTTCATAATCTCTTTATTGTCCTATCATTTTAATAACTGCAGGTCTGTGTTATCAGTGTGCTATAGGTTATGCAAAGGGTGGGATATTTAAAAAAGAGGTTGTGTCAATTTCAGCAATAGCTGCCAAGAAGGGAAAAAGTCGCTTTCTTTTCCACAACCCCCCCCCCCAAAATCCTGTTTTTTCTGTATCTCTTTCACATTTTCTATTTAGATTGTAAATGTTTCAGATGAGGAACTTACTGTGTGCTCATATATGCTTTACACAGTAGAATCCTGATTTCAGTAAGGGCCTCTAGGCACAACTGTAACGCAAATAAACAAGTGTAGCCCTTTCAAATGTTTATACAAGTTTGCTACAGTGAACCTAGCAGTGCTAATCTGAAAGCTGTATCCCTATTGCTGCTGTAGAAGTGGCCTCCTGTGGCTGATCTTTGAAACTATACACTTATGTCATTTATATTATAACCATAATTCAGACCTTATTTTCTGATTTGTGTGGCCATTGCCTAAATCATGTCACTTAAAGGGATTTGTACTGCTGAACACAGTATCTAAAATATATGCTCTTATTCAAACAAGAATTAATTTAAGGAACTTCTGTGACCTGGATAGTACAGGTGGCTAGATTAGAGGATTACAGTGGTTCGTTCTGGCTTTATAATTACAAAATTTAGTGGAGTATACATAGTCAAGATGATCAGTTTTGGGGGATTGTAAGGAAGAAGAAGAAAAGTGATGCTTCAGAGATTTATCATATAAAATAAATTATTGAAAAAGCTAAAAGGAAAAGACAGTCTTCTTCAAGGAGTGTTCTTGTGGATGCTCCACTTCCTGCTCCTCCACCTCAAATTGGAGACCATGCAGACAGCTGTCATGTGCTGTTTGGAGCTGCTATCCCCCATGAGCAGCCAGCCGACCATTCAGTTCCTTTTCTACCATCATTGGTCTTAGTTGGAACTTAGCAGTCACCTTTGCAATCAGTCTTGAAATCCTTAACTTTCACTGTTTTTTTTTTTCCCCTCATTTTACTTAGTTGTTTCCCCTGGATTTTCTCTTAAAAAAAAATTGTTGCCACTTTGGTGGCTTGTCCACCTTTTAGACATACTTGGTCTCCCACAGCTTTAAACACTGTCTGACTTGCACATTCTCCCTTCCTATTTCTGACAGATACTCTCAGTGTGCCCATTGTTTAGGTGAGGCACATGTTACCCAAAAGTGCTCTCACTGCAAGGGCCAGAAAGCCAGAGTGCTCTAATGTAAGCTATTGCTTATGGAGAAGTTGCTTCATTCAGCCCCTAACCCAGAACATACGACACCACCCAGACAACTATCTCCTGTGGCAGTGTCAGAAAAGGAAGGTTCCTCAGGGGCAAGCTCCAGAGATGCCACTCCCACTGCTACCTCCAGAAAGTGCTACCATTTGTCATCTCAAGGTGATTTCTCCTAAAAAAAGCACTCTTTGCCAAAGAAAATCAGCCCTGGCACCAGCAGCACTGAAAGCATCGGACCATGAGGCAACTAGGTACATCTGGTACTGAGACGACCCAAGGAGCAAAAGACCCAGCACGGGCCAGCTCTAATACAGATTCTTACTTGAAACCTAAAGTGTCTCTATCAGCACAAACAAAGCCACATACTGCACTGGATCATCATAGCAAGCAGTCACCACTGTCAGTACAGACTCCCCTACCTGCTCTGCTTCTGGCACTTATGTCAGCATGGTTCTTCCCCACACTGCAGCACTTTACCAGCCATGCATATCTGGTAGTCACCTCAGCACCAGGAACACTGCTCTTCAGTATGAGCGGCACCAGGGATGACCTCCCAGTTCAGCCTCTATTTCTCCTGCAGGGTCAGCCCATCTACCATCCAGTGATGAGAAGGAAGAAATCTCTTCAGCCTTACACTAAGCTGCACATCACCAAGGCAAATGCAGCAACCAACACAATGGCAGCCTCCTCATGGGTCCTCCACCACTGCCAATACCACCTAACTGGCTTTATGTATAGACCCTGGACTATGTATAGAGTGTAGGACCCTCAACCTGTTCAGCAGCCAGCTGCATCGCATAGCTCACAAACCTCTCCAGTTCCATCAGTTCCTCCATCAGTCGTAGATCCTGAAGAGGTTGCTGAAGGCTTGGAGGATCAAGCTATCATTGATTCTCCAGTGCCCATATATATATACCTCCTCTTCACCAGATGATTAGTATGCCTCTGCCACCCACCTCAGGAGATAATTTTAAATCATTTTACGAGCTATATAAAAGAGTGGCAGATACCTTGGAGATTTCTCAGGAATAACCACCAGAATCACAAAATAGGCCTATGGACATTCTCCATGCCTCTGCAGATGTTAAACTGGCCTTACCAATTGATTTAGTGCTCAAGTATCTACCCAAAACAATCCGGCAGACTCCTGCAACCATCGCTACTTCATGAAAATGATTGGACAAAAAATATTACGTTGCACCCAGGTAGCAGATTTCCTCTTCACCCATCCCACTCCTAATTCTTTAGTGGTCAATGTGGTGAACCAGAGGGGCATGCAGAATGCCACCCATACCACCCTTATGACAGGGATTGGAAACAGCTAGATTCATTTGGCAGGAAAGCCTATTCATCTGCTACCATACAACTCAGAATTGCTAATTTCCTGCCCAGTCTCCTGTCCAAAATCACAATCCCTTCCTAGCCTAGGTCACATCCCAAAACCTACACCCCATTCTCCTGCCCCAGGTCACAACTGCCTCTTTCACCCAAACTCCCTCCCAGTCTCCATTCTCCCTCCTGCACCCCAATCTCTTACCCTAAGCTCTCTTCTGCACCCAACCTCCATCCCAGACCCCACATCTCCTCCATTAATACCATGGAAGAGTGCGGCCCTTGACCACTTTCCAAAATCTTAGAGTGGCCCCTATCAGAAACTATAGCCCACCCTGGTCTGTCTCCACCACAGTGGTAATGCAGTGTGCATCCCAACTGAAACTTTCAGGGTTTCCAAAAGAAGTCCAGTTGATGGAGGAAGATCTGCCATTTGAAAGTTCCAAACTCTTTGTAGAGTCCACCAATGCTTTTCTCCACACTTAAGGTCACAAGGTCCACCCTGAAGACCTCAGGGATCCATGTCCCTGCAACCAAATGAAAACAGAGAAGGGTTTTTACACAATTCCAGAGACACTATGACAACAGATGAAAATAGCACCAAACTAGGCGCAGGCAACTGATGAACAATCATCTGGTTCTCAGCCATTAACCGCAAGACAGACCTTTTGAAGGGTTGGTGGAGGGCCAAAGGAGCCACAAAATTCCCAGTGCAGGTTTCCATCATTTCCATCTGTGACAGAAAACCCCTTGAGGCTGCTTCCCGGTGTGCTGATAAAGTCACTGATACTCACTTCTTTGCTCTCTGGGGCTTCTCACCACCCTGTTTTTCTGGGCCAGATATCCTGGTCTCCCCTAGCCAAGACACAGAGCTAAGATCACTGCTCCCCACCCCCAAAGAGCAATATAGACACTGAAACTCTTCAGGTATGAGGAGAATGCAGTTTCAGGCACAGCTTCCAGGAAACCCACTCCCCAAATGGGATCAGAACTCCAAATAAATCATTTAGGCATGATTCTCTTTAACAATGAAAGGAAGATGTACACACTGATTGCTCCCTCTGGTAATAATTATTTACATTAGGCTTGATAATAAATAAAAGTAATTTTATTAAGTATAAACAGTAGGATTTATGTGGTTGCAAGTGAAAACAGGCAAAGTAAATTAAAAATTTTAAACAACAGAAAATGCTTAGCTAGTTCTAACACCCTAAAGCTTATTGCAAACTTCCCCATAAACTGTTCTTGTTTCAGCTACACCTCCAAGCCAGGGAAGATCTTGTTTCCCTCGGGTCTCTGGTTTACTCTCTTGGGAGTGACGTGCCAGCCAAAGACAAAGCTTGAAAACTTTGCATCTTAAATAGCCTTCATTTTAGGAAGGAATTCTTTGTTTTACATTCTCCCTTTACATGGAAAATTACCTTGTCAGACCCTACCAGTTGGGGTGGTCACATGTCTTCCTAAGACCAACCACTGCTTAAAAAACAAAGGAGGCTGTTTGTAAATGATTACTCAGATGTTGAGGTGTCCCAGCATTGGAAACACCCTTGATGGCTTTCATTTGCCCATTTAAAACCACTCATTTGCCGCGGCTCTGGCAAAAAAAAAAAAAAAAAAAAAAAGTAAAAATGTAAGAAGAGTTACATTGTTACCCGGCTAGCTCCGCTTGAGCTAAGTTCAGTAGTTCTCCGACCCTTTATTTGAACAAGACTCAAATAATAAAATAGGCATAGTTACCATTCCTAAAGGAGACAGAAAGGGGCAGTTGGTGAAACGAGAGAAAACCCCCTTCAGACAGCCAGTATGCCGGGCTCCCCCGGCTTCAAAAAGTGCACTATGTGCAGGGACTCAATGCCTGTCTCTGACGGACATTCGGCTTGTGTCCGCTGCCTTGGGGAGGCACATATCCCCCAAAAATGTCGTCACTGTGCCAAGCTCACGATGAGAGCCCGCAAGGAGCGGGAAAGACGGCTG